AAAAAAAAAAAAATATATGTGTATTTGGTTACTTACAAAATTTTTTCCCTTCTTATAATTATTGATATGTTTCTCTTTTTATCTTTGAATTATCTTAAATTTTGTATTTATTTTGTATTGGGTTTAAATTTGTTGGATTAAATCCCCACTTTGCTTCTTTTTTAAATATATAGTGTATTATAATATAGTTTATCATATTTTATTTACTAAATAAACAAATGAAATTTTTTGTCCCACATGATTTATGCTTATATCAAAATTTTATATTTTATATTATTTAAGGATTTTTTTTAAATACTTATATTTATAAATTCATGAATGATGAAAGAAAAACATTTATTGCATCTTATTGGGAATAAAAGTACATCGTGTTCGAAAACAAGCCTTGCCGGAGACATTGATTATTTTTTCGTTTTTCCCCTATTTACTCTTATTGTCCTCGACTTCTTTAAATGTATACGATTTTTCTTCGAAACGCGATGGTGCGAGAAATATTTGTTATTCACATCAAATAATAGTGTCGTGTTCGAAAATAAGCCTTTCCGGAGATGTTGATTAGCGTTCAGTCACGCTAGTCGCCATCATGTGCATCCAGCAGCGTCCAGTCGGGCCTAATTCATGCTCAGCAGCGGCCAGACGCCGCAGCACCATAGGCCAGGGCCTCGGCAGGCCCTGCAGCCATCATGTTCACGCCCAACCACATTTGGTTTATGATATTTTATTTACTAAATAAATAAATGAAATTTGTTGTCTGATACGATTTATGATCATAAATAAATGACATATTTTTTATTATTTAAGGTCTTGTTGTTTTTTACTTACATACTTATTTACAAACAATTAGCCAACGATAAAAATAAGGAGTGAGTTTAGAAGAGCCTGAGTCGAAGCACGCCGTAGCTCTATTTTTAGAGAAGAAACGCCCCCACTACACCGGTAAGTTGATCGCACGTTCTTCTCCCAAGATTCGACAACCCGATGGTACTCTCGTGCGCAGCGAAGAGAACCCCGAACCATAAAAAAAAGTGCTCAAAATATGTATATATAATTTACTGAATTGAGAGGAATATTTTTTATATTAGGAAAAGAATTGGAAGTGATCATGCATATATAAACTTGTACCCTCTGTTCATGAAATTAGAACCTAATATATAGTAGCAGCCCAAAAACCAATCTTACCGTTGGGAATTATGCATCAATACAAAAAACGTATGGTCATTAAGAGTTAATAAATTAGAAATACATCAAATGGATGTCAAAACTGCTTTCTTAAATGGAGATTTGGATGAAGAAATTTATATGAATCAATCGGAAGGTTTTGTTGTTCCCGATGATGAAAAGAAAGTATGTAAGCTTGTGAAATCTCTTTATGAATTAAAACAAGCTCCAATGCAATGGCATGAAAAATTTGATAGTGTTATGATTTTTAATGATTTTTATATTAACTATGGTGATAGTGCTCTTCATGTGACGTTTGAGGTTGAATATATCTCTTAATGAATCCAAGGGCATATTATTTTGCGGGGTGATTGGTCACAAATCACTCTTGGAGGATTCACCTAAGTGAACGTGGTGGTGGGGTCGCCACTGTGGGGGTGTGGGCTACTCCCTAATGACGTTCATGATACACGATTCCCGTGCATGACCGTAAAGCACACCACTGATAGAACCACAATATTTACTCATACATACCGTGGTGTGTAATGGTTTGCCATGTAAAATCAAGAGCATAGATCAAGACATTCGTGTCTCTATTGTTCTTTTATGTGGTAGTCCATATAAGTGGAGGTTCAAACCCGGAAGGTACCTACACCTATTACACGGTATTTTGCTCATTTACTTTTATTATTATTATTATTATATTTTATTATTTACTATTATTATTATTTTAAATCATGTGGGGAATGTTAGATATTTGTTTGATTTAAATAATAATAATAGCATTCATCATACTAATGTTTGTAAACTTCTTGGTCAAATAGTCTTTCCAAAACCAAAAATTATTTGGGCCAATAATGAGGGCATTATGTACCAACGTTCGTTTTTTTTTTTTTTTTTTTTAACTCTTAATGACCATACGTTTTTTTGTATTGATGCATAATTCCCAACGGTAAGATTGGTTTTTGGGCTGCTACTATATATTAGGTTCTAATTTCATGAACAGAGGGTACAAGTTTATATATGCATGATCACTTCCAATTCTTCTCCTAATATAAAAAATATTCCTCTCAATTCAGTAAATTATATATACATATTTTGAGCACGAGTATTTTGTGGTTCGGGGTTCTCTTCGCTGCACACGAGAGTACCATCGGGTTGTCGAATCTTGGGAGAAGAACGTGCGATCAACTTACCGGTGCAGTGGGGGCGTTTCTTCTCTAAAGATAGAGCTACGGCGTGCTTCGACCCAGGCTCTTCTAAACTCACTCCTTATTTTTATCGTTGGCTAATTGTTTGTTATTGAATTTATTTTTCCTAAATTACTAGAAATATTTCTCCACTTTAGACATAATTTTTCCAACAATCCCCTAATTTCCAAAATCCGATTTCCCATCCCCGCTTGGCCCCGACAGCTACTAGCAACACCACCGTCTCCGCTTGGCCCTCCTCTACAACATTTGCCGCCATCCCCAAATCCTTATTTATATACTTTGCAAAAACTTCCTGGCCCAAAATCCCTCCCGACCATCCTCTTCCCAAACAATTCCATAACCATGGTCCTAGTGGCCCAGCCACGCACAACCTCTAGAAACTTCTCCTTATCCAGCCCGAATTTCTCGCCAAACACCAAAAGTGTCTCCCCAGTCGAGAGAAGCCGCAGATCGGACGTTGTTGCCTCCTACGGCAGCGAATGGTAACAGACGTCGGCAAAGAGATGCAGCCACGAACCAACGACTGTTTGAGGGATGGAGCCAGAACCAATGGCAGCCGACGAGATGCAACTTGTACCAGTGGGTGGCAGAGAGATGCAACTGAACCTACCGGTTGTCGGAGAGATGAAGCAGCACTCCAGGAACGACGCCCGAGAGTGGTGGCAAGCTGATGCTGACCGGTCATCGATGACCGTTGATAAAGTTCAATTAATTAATCAATTATTTATTTATTTAATTCTTATATAATAATTATTAGTTTTATTAAATAAATAATGTAGTTACTATTGATTTATATGAGCCATTAATCTACACAAAATCAATGAATAATATTTCGTCTCATATACCCATTTTAAGTGAACTCATTTAACCCATCCCCTATGTGTGTGTACATAGATTCTATCATGCAATTACTACTAGTATTAATTAATGGGAGATGCTACGGTCCCGTTACGAAACCATTCCGTCAGAATTTGTAGTCATTAGATCAACTATCTCTGACGGTTATATGATAATCTAATGGTTACAAACCCGACGGAATGGTTCCGTAATAGGATCGTAGCATTTCCCTTAATTAATTGAAGGGTTAATTGCATAAAAAAACCACCACCTTTTGTTTAGTTGTAAATAAAACTCAACATTTTCAATTTTGCAAAAAAATACCTAACTTTTATTAAGTGTTGCAATTTTGTCTCGTCCGCCGGACCGCCGCCACCAACCGCCACCCGCCGCTGCCAACTTTGCCGGATATTGGAAATTTTTATATGATCTTGTAGCTCTCCTCCGTGCCAACAACATATCCGAGTTTCACGAAAAAAATTCGACGATAAGACGTCCAATTTTCCGGTCAAAGGTCGTAGATCTAAATTTTTTACGACCTTTGACCAAAAAATTGGATGTCTTATTTCGTGAAACTCGGATATGTTGTTGGCACGGAGGAGAGCTACAAGATCATATAAAAATTTTCAATATCCGGCAAGGTTGGCGGCGGCGGGTGGCGATTGGCAGCGGCGGTCTGGCGGACGAGACAAAATTGCAACACTTAATAAAAGTTAGATATTTTTTTGCCAAATTGAAAAGGTTGAGTTTTATTTGCAATTAAACAAAATGTGATGGTTTTTTTATTCAATTAACCCTTAATTAAATATAATTACTACTCTAATATTAACTAATTACAAATTCACATTAAAAGAGTTAAAGTTAGGCACACATAAAAATAATTATATAATAAATTTTTTTTTCCAGATATTAATTTAAGAATTAATTTGTACTTTTATATTTTTATATCATTAATAGCTAACTCATTTTAAAGGCGTAACAAACCCCTTGTATAAACAATTTTTATATAATATAAGAGTGCTTTTTTATGATTAAACTTATGAAATGTTATATACCCACTATCTAACCTATAATTTGAAAAATAATATAACATATGTAAAAACTTAAAAATGTTTATTTTGATGCGAGTAGCACTGCTCAATTATAAGGTGCCTTGGTTTCATCTTTAGAAGTGTCCCTAAATTATAGAATGCGCATTTAACAGCTTGACGACACAAATTTGGTATGAGAAAGGAGAAGAAACATGATGAGGAATTGGAGAAAGACGAGTTAGTCTCAGTCTAGTCGGCCCCTATATCTGTGGAGTTCCATATACACATCTCGAGTTCCAACTTGCCTGCGGAGTTGAGAAAGCCATAGGGCACGAGAAGGAAGTCGAGGGGCGGGGAGGCCGCGTTGACCCTGCCCGGGAAGCTATTTGTATAGGACTTCAACCTGAGGCAGGTGTTGCCTCTCTCGGACACAATATCGTACAAATACTGGTCCTTTGACGAGGTCGGTGCTATGCAGCTGATCATGACAGTGTGGCCGATACTCTCGGTCCCTTTATTAACAAGGAAAAGGATGCCATCCTTCTCGGCCTGCAGAACGAGGAAGTTGTCGTTTTTGTTGAGGGTGACGGGCAGCGGGCAGTTGTACTGAAAGCGGCGGCCCGAGTCCCAGTGCTTGCTGCTGTAGTGCTCAGCCAGCTGTGCGGACGAACCCACAAAGTGGCACTTGCGGATGGGGCAGGCACAAGGGGAGTATGGGCAGATCTCCTCCTCATGCTCCTTGCGCTTGCTGCAATCCACAATCTGGGTGCACCCATACAGTGCGTTGCGGCACGGGGCCTCTGAAATCTCCATCTCATCCTTCTGCTATACCAACCAAAAACAACCCACATTTCATTTGTAGATAATGATGATGATGAAAAAACCAATCACAAACATCAGTCAGTTCGTTACCTCTGCTGTAATCATGCCCCCATTCATTTCATCTTCCCCATCCTGCAACCAAAAACATACATACATAACTAGCAAAATAGCAAGTCATGAGTATAACTTCCAAAAGTTTATGCTCATATCCACCATGAGCCACATAATCAATATTAAATATCCCCCAGTAAGAACACAAGTCATGCAAACAATCGACAATCTACAGGAGAGTGGAAATTTGGTATCACAATCCTTACGAGACCAAGAGCAAAAGGAGACTGCATCACCAATGTAATAATAATTGCGTTTTTTCAAGCATGCACCAGACTCTAGTCATAAATTGAAACAAATAATTTCTTCCACTTCCCCTCCTGGCTTCTCATGTAGTTTTATGGATCAAACTTACAGAAATCAAAACAAAAGTACTCTAGAATAAAATTGATAAATAATCACAACAACAACATAATTATATAAAACAATCACCTGAAACCCAATCTGCTCAAGTAGAGGGTAGTTGTCCATCTCTGATGGTGTTATAGGCAATTGCATGCTTTCTGGTTGGGTTCTATAACCTACCATTCCCATCCCAAGCCCTCTTTCCTTGCAAACAACCTGCATTACAAACACTTCAACTCAATTATCCAACAACTTTGTTAATAACAGCAACTGTATGTATGCATTATATATACCTCTCCACATCCATAACCGCCAAGCTCCCTCTCTTGCTTCTCCCTCTCACTAATTTCCTCCTCACCCCAAGAGGCCAGGCAAGGGAAAATAGCTGGGGACAGTTCAGATGGTTCTCCAACAGCAACACTCTCATAGTAAAAAAGCTGTCAATGATAAAATAAATAGACAGGCAAAAAATGAAGCTTTAAAACCAAAAAGAAATAGGAAAGAAAATTCAGAGAAGATAGAGAATCCAATCTCACCTGGAGAAACAAAAGACAACCACCAACTGCACGTTGCTTTCCCTGGCGATAGCGGGCCACCTCTCGAACTAGCCGGTCAAGCAAAAACTTTCCCCAATTATATTGGTGGACCACGTCCATATTTGTCAAGAAATGGAGAAATGAGGGGCTAACATCCAGCCTTGCCGTGGGGCATATAAGAGTGCCCAAGACATAGAGGAGAAAAGATCTCTTAAAATCCTCTCCTGCTTCTGGGGCCGCCAACCTTTCCTCCAGGAGCCGAACAGAAATCCCACGATTAGTGGCATTGTACTTTTTGCGTAAATCAGCAATTAACTCATCGGACCCAGAATTAACCACATCCTTCCCACTAGATGCCAATCCCATCACCAGTTCAACATCCCGTGGAGTTAAAGGTATGCGCTCTCCACAAATCTCCAAACTGCGCCTAACTGTATTAAATTTATCCAATAACCAGAGGCAGAGACTGCGCCTCAGAGTTCGGCACCTGAGATTAAGGATACTACCAAAGCCCATGTTTTTTACAGCATCCTTTTGGTCAGGAGTGAGTCGTTGCAGCACATTTAATAAACGACCGGGAGAGCACCTCGTAACAAGTTTGGTCTGTACCGATAACATACATTGTAAATATTTAATTATCCATAAGCATCTAAAGATGGAAATGCTGGGGACAAATACATAACAAGAAGATACCTGTCTTCTTGGCTTAGGAATACGGGCAGGTGTACTGCTTAAGTACTTATCCCAAACTTCACGGGCACGATTCGTGTACTTTGCCTTCTCTTCTGGACTCATCAACTTCCAAGCATCTGAGGCAGCTTTTGTGGCCTGCGACAAAGATGCATTATCCAAATATTTCTAACCATTATTTCTAGGCAGATAATACAAGTATTAGTCAAAAGGGATAAGATCCTTACCGCTTTCAACCCTGACGATTCAGGATGTGAAGCAGTGTACTCTTTGATAAATTCACGACTGAAAAGCAATCCTCTAAGTCATTAGTAAAAATATCTCCAGAGAAAGAAAAGGAAAAGGAAACATGTTACTGAATGGCACCTAAAATGCACCCACGAGCATGCTGGACGAGATTTTCCATCCTGCTTCTTCTTCTTCTTTGTCCGACTACCTTCTGTCTCACTATGTTCTTGTTCATTGCCAATAACCATCATCATATTTACTTGGTATCTTGATTTTAGAGTAACACCTTTCTCATCTTATAACCTAATTTCAAAAAGAAAAGACGAGGACGTATAACCATGCGACAAAGAGAATATAGTTTTAAAGCATGTAACAGTAAATTACTGCTAATGGATTGAGACCGCCCACACATTTTTGAAAAAGCATTATTAAAGTTTAAAAGAATGGCATATCATAATTATTCGACAGTTATTCCAAGTTCGTTAGCTCTATTACATAATTTGACTTTCATGAATCAGGAAAGTGTTGGTACACAACACCATCCTACACAAAAGTACTATTACTACCACAAGTATCTCAAACATCTACTGATGCAAACTTCAGTATATTAACGAATCCTCCCCCCACCAACCCACTCAACAATTTGAATACACCCAATTTAGAAGCAATGCTAATTTTTTACAGCCTCTAAATATATAATAGCTTGAGTTGAATCTGGTGAAACTATAACGCGAAAAGGTAAAAATCCTGCTTATAATTTACAGTCTAAGTTCAACTATCTTATTTCAAAAGTACAAGCACCGGCGGCTAGACGAAGGCAACAGTTTCCCATGGGCTGAGAAGAAGAAAAATCCCGAAGCTCCTCGCCCAGGCAGGAATTGCGGTTTCAATTGATAGGACCAAAAAAGGGAACATGCAATTAAATGAAAACCCTAATCGGGTGAAAAGGGAGCTAAAAAAATCAGCACGTACCGACGGTGAAGTTCTCATCGGAGACGGCGGAGGCACCAGCTGCCCGTCGGCCACAGCGCTTATTTTTTTTTTTTT